TATTATGCATGTGCTAGTAGCAATTAGCTTGTGCACAGCAAAAATATTTGGCTCATGCAAATCGATTTTCCACCCATAGAAACATTTTTAGTGATCCAGGTTTAGTCCATGTGGCATTTTGGTTAAAATATTTTTATTTATTTATTTATTATATTTTTATTGCATGAAAAGTAATACAGGCAATACTTCATAATACATTGACAGTTACATGGATCTTGCAGTTTCACAAGTGAAATAGGTATGGTAACAGTCGTTGTCTGATCATCTAAATACATGGTTTGTACATTCACATTTTTATGCGAAGCAAGACGTTAATTTGAGAGCATAGAACCTATACAGCGTCTTTTAAGGATGTGGGGGAACTACCTGCATTTTTATGGAAGCTTGAGTTTGTTAGATTATGCCTCACATGTAGCGTTAAGGTACAATGTGTAGTTATTTCTCTCTGTGTCGCGTCATGTTTAACCCCTTAAGGACTGGACTGTTTTTGCGATGTTGTACATTTGCGACCAGGCATATTTTTACACTTTTGTGGTGTTTGTGTTTGGCTGGAATTTTCTGCTCTCTCATTTACTGTTCCCATACAAATTATATATTGTTTTTTTCAGGACAAAAGGGGCTTTCTTTATATACCATTATTTATATAATCTCATGTATTTTAATTTAAAAAAAATAAAAAAATATGATGAAAAATTGAAAAAAATACATGTTTTTTGACTTTTACTTGAAAAATCTTTTACTCATCTACAAAAGCGAATGAAAAAAACTGCTAAATAGATTCAAAATTTTGTCCTGAGTTTAAAAATACCCCGTGTTTACATGCTTTTTTTTTGCATGTTATAGGGCTATAGGTACAAGTAGGATATTGCGGTTTCAAAACATACAATTTTAAAATTTATCAATAGTGACATTGTAACACTATTATCTGTCATAAATCTCTGAATAACACCCCACATGTACATATTTTTTTTAAAGTAGACAACCCAGGGTATTCAATATGGGGTATGTCCAGTCTTTTTTAGTAGCCACTTAGTCGAAAACACTGGCCAAAGTAAGCATTCATATTTGTTTGTGTGTGAAAAAAGTAAAAAAACTAAATTGAACGCTAATTTTGGCCAGTGTTTGTGACCAAGTGGTTACTAAAAAAGACTGGACATACCCCATTTGCAATACCTTGGGTTGTCTTCTTTTGCAAATGGTATGCCATCATGGGGGTAATTCTCATTCCTGGGCTACCATACGCTCTCAAAGGCAACGTAACCAACCTGGCCATTTTCAATGTAAAAATATTTGACCCATATATTTGACCTTGTAACTTTAAAAAATACTATAAAACCTGTACATGGGGGGTACTGTTTTACTCAGGAGACTTTGCTGAACACAAATATTAGTGTTTAAAAACTGGAAAATGTATCACAACAATTATATCATCAGTAAAAGTGCTGTTTGTGTGTGAAAAATGCAAAAAAAGTCACTTTCACTGACAATATCATCGCTGTGATATGTTTTACTGTTTTGAATCACTAATATTTGTGTTCAGCGAAGTCTCCCGAGTAAAACAGTACCCCCCATGTACAGGTTTTAGGGTGTCGTAGAACTTTACAGGGTAAAATACAGTGCTAGCAAATTCAATTCTCTGGAATTTTGGCCTGGGTTGGCAGGCAGGTCCCTCAAATTGCAATCAATAAAATTACTGAATTATGTAAAAATATTACATAAATACGCACGTAGAATTTAAATATATATGCATATTTATATATTTGAAGTCTACGTGTATATTTATATAATTATTTATGTAATTTTGTATATGGACATATGTATATTTCTTATTATTTTTATTTATTTTTATATACATAGATATATATGCAAATTCATTCTAAGTGTATTTTGATATAAATATATATATATATTAATTTTAAAATACAGTTAGAATAAAATTTCATATAGATATATAATTTTCTTTTTAATTTTTATTATTATTTAAAAAAAAATATTTAATTTAAATTACTTATTATTTATATTTTATAATATATATATATATACAATATATATAGTTATTATATATATTATATATATACGTGTGTAATTTAATTATAAGTGTATTTATATATTAATATAAGTACATATTAATATAAAAATACACTTAGTATGACATTATATATATATATATGATATATAGACATATATTATATTGATATAATATATGTCTATACAGGGAGTGCAGAATTATTAGGCAAGTTGTATTTTTGAGGATTAATTTTATTATTGAACAACAACCATGTTCTCAATGAACCCAAAAAACTCAATATCAAAGCTGAATATTTTTGGAAGTAGTTTTTAGTTTGTTTTTAGTTATAGCTATGTTAGGGGGATATCTGTGTGTGCAGGTGACTATTACTGTGCATAATTATTAGGCAACTTAACAAAAAACAAATATATACCCATTTCAATTATTTATTATTACCAGTGAAACCAATATAACATCTCAACATTCACAAATATACATTTCTGACATTCAAAAACAAAACAAAAACAAATCAGTGACCAATATAGCCACCTTTCTTTGCAAGGACACTCAAAAGCCTGCCATCCATGGATTCTGTCAGTATTTTGATCTGTTCACCATCAACATTGCGTGCAGCAGCAACCACAGCCTCCCAGACACTGTTCAGAGAGGTGTACTGTTTTCCCTCCTTGTAAATCTCACATTTGATGGTGGACCACAGGTTCTCAATGGGGTTCAGATCAGGTGAACAAGGAGGCCATGTCATTAGATTTTCTTCTTTTATACCCTTTCTTGCCAGCCACGCTGTGGAGTACTTGGACGCGTGTGATGGAGCATTGTCCTGCATGAAAATCATGTTTTTCTTGAAGGATGCAGACTTCTTCCTGTACCACTGCTTGAAGAAGGTGTCTTCCAGGAACTGGCAGTAGGACTGGGAGTTGAGCTTGACTCCATCCTCAACCCGAAAAGGCCCCACAAGCTCATCTTTGATGATACCAGCCCAAACCAGTACTCCACCTCCACCTTGCTGGCGTCTGAGTCGGACTGGAGCTCTCTGCCCTTTACCAATCCAGCCACGGGCCCATCCATCTGGCCCATCAAGACTCACTCTCATTTCATCAGTCCATAAAACCTTAGAAAAATCAGTCTTGAGATATTTCTTGGCCCAGTCTTGACGTTTCAGCTTGTGTGTCTTGTTCAGTGGTGGTCGTCTTTCAGCCTTTCTTACCTTGGCCATGTCTCTGAGTATTGCACACCTTGTGCTTTTGGGCACTCCAGTGATGTTGCAGCTCTGAAATATGGCCAAACTGGTGGCAAGTGGCATCGTGGCAGCTGCACGCTTGACTTTTCTCAGTTCATGGGCAGTTATTTTGCGCCTTGGTTTTTCCACACGCTTCTTGCGACCCTGTTGACTATTTTGAATGAAACGCTTGATTGTTCGATGATCACGCTTCAGAAGCTTTGCAATTTTAAGAGTGCTGCATCCCTCTGCAAGATATCTCACTATTTTTGACTTTTCTGAGCCTGTCAAGTCCTTCTTTTGACCCATTTTGCCAAAGGAAAGGAAGTTGCCTAATAATTATGCACACCTGATATAGGGTGTTGATGTCATTAGACCACACCCCTTCTCATTACAGAGATGCACATCACCTAATATGCTTAATTGGTAGTAGGCTTTCGAGCCTATACAGCTTGGAGTAAGACAACATGCATAAAGAGGATGATGTGGTCAAAATACTCATTTGCCTAATAATTCTGCACTCCCTGTATATCATATATGTATACACATATATAATTTTTTTTTTTATTAACACTAACTTTATTTTTTTTTCTGATTTTACACTAGCAGGGAGACTGCCTGTCAGCACAGACAGTCCCCCTGCAGGCAGACACATGGACACCTATTGTGACCATGTGATCGCTGTGTTAAGCGATCACATGGCCACAGGGGTCCTAATTCAGTGTGGGGAGACTGTCTGGGCTGCAGGCAGTCTCCCCACAACCGGAGCCACGCTGATCGCCGCCGGGGGAACAACGGCGATCAGGTAAGTAACTCAGACCGTTAGGACGGATCAGGACCGTCATCGGTCTGCAAGGCAAAAATGCCGATGACGGTCCTGAACCGTCCTCGGTCGCTAAGGGGTTAAGTGGTTTTGGATAAGGCAATATTGCCTTAGGTTAAGTATATATATTTAACTGAACAAAATTAATAGTATAAACTTAAACAGAAACAGAAACTAGTGTGGCGATAGTGTGGCTATACTGTTATGCGTAGAGTTGGATGCATTTTAGTGGCCTAGGTTGTTAAAGTTCACAGGTTAGTATTAATAGTAATGTATAATCCTTCTACAGCATGGCGTATGCTGTTCCCCTGGTTGGGTTTAGCGCCATGTGGGTGGTATATTGTGTACTGGCTCTATTCCTGATCCTTCTTCCCTCATGTATATTACCCAGGGTTGCCATAAGCCGTATATTTAGTATGTTTGCCTAGTGAAGCCCATCTGAGTTCTTCTAGTGCTCTGTAATGCTCAACTTTGTTAAGCCAGGCAGCTAAGCCAGAGGGGTCTGGACTTTCCAAGTTCCTGCTATTACTGATTTAACAGTGGTTAAGATAAAGTATATCAGCTAATTTTCGTATTTACCCAATGGTACATCAGTGAAATGGAAGATAATTTTTGCAGGTTCCAGTGTGATCTTATGCCCTGTGATTTCTTGTACCTGAATCTGAAACCCTGTTATTCTGGGGCACGACCACCAAATATGCTCTAGGTTGCACATAGCTAAGCCACATCTCCGGCATGTTGAGGGCTGTGATGGGACACATTTGTGGATTTTCGCTGGAGTGTTATACCACCTTGATAGAAGTGTATAATTGGTTTCTTGAAGGAAGACACTAGTGTGTGCATGGAAGGTGTAGGAGAAGATCGTGTACCAGTCTTGTTCTGTTAGTTGTAGTATTAGTGTCTTAGTCCAGGCTTGGACGAAATGGGAGAGAGCTACTGTCAGCCATGGTAATGCGTTCAGGGGGGTGGTTACAAAAGATTGTTCTATCTGGATCCATAGTTTGGTCACGGGTTTGATTGACCAGTTCACTTTTCTGCCGAGGTGTATTGCATAGTAGTATAACTGTATGTAGGGTAAACTGATTCCACCCCTGTGCTTGGGTGTGATCAGTGTGTGATATGCTATGTGTGGTCTCTTATGTGCCCAAACAAATGAGGTGAATAGTGATCGTATTGTCCTAAAAGAGGATTGCGGGATGTTAATCGGCAGTGTGTTCAGGAGGTATAAGATTCTTGGAAGGATATTAATGTTAATAATAATCTAAAGTCAGGTTTATTCCAGGAGATCAAGTCTTTTTTGATCAAGTCTAGAAGCGTGGGTAAGTTGGTGTGGCATAATTTTATTGTTGAGGGAGTAATTTTGATGCCTAGGTATGTTATTTCTTTGTTGGTCCATTTAAACAGGAAATTTGCCTGTAGTCACCCCACTTCAGTCTGCTCTACCGATATGTTCAATATGTCACTTTTCCCCATATTAATTTAAAAATGTAAAAGTGAGCTATATTTGGACATCAGGGAGAGTAGTGAGGTAGAGGGATTAGAAAGGGTGAACAGGAGGTTGTCAGAAAACGCTGATACTTTATATTCACATTCATCCACCTTGATTCCCTGTATCACCGTGTTGTTCCTTACAGCATTCAAAAAGGGTTCAAGTACCAAAATGAATAAAAGTGGGGATAGGAGACACCCCTGTCATGCGCCGTTCGATATGTTAAAGGGTTTGGATAGCTTCCTGTTAACTTTCAGCTTTGCAGTTGGCTTTGAGTATAGAGCATGTATTCCTAGTGTTGTCACCAGGAAGGACTAGAACACCCTATCGAATGCCTTTTCTGTGTCTATCCATAGTAGGACTGAAGGCACTCCCGATGATCTAGTCCCTTGTAACAAAACCTGCCTGATGGGTGGTAACTGATGCATATGTCTATATCTTTTCCTGGTTTTGGTATCAGTGTAATATTGGCCTCCAAGTTCGGTTGAACCGATTTTTGTCCATGTGGGCATTTTGGGAAAAATTATTCAGCAGAACCAAAACAGCGATCAAATTGACTAATCAGTGCACAGCAAAATTTAATTATCATGCATATATTTTGCAGTACACTGAAAAGAGAATTTTCATGCCATTTGGTTACTGATCAAGTGAGAATAAGTAACCAAGAGAGGGGGGGAAAGAAGCAGTAAAAAAATAAAATCTATATTTGTATATTAAAATATTAATAATGTATTAAAATATAAGAAATAAATATAGAATTATTTTTTTTAATAGTCTCTTTTTTTTTTTTCATATTCACTTGATATGTGAATAAGATCAATATTTGGTTTCTGTCCCCTAACCAATCATCTTTTTATCCATCCATGGATTTCAGATGAATCACTGATTGGTAAAACTTTGTATGAATAACACTTTATTTGAAACCGAATGCAGAAGTCTACAGGTGATACTCGAAAAATTAGAATATTGTGCAAAAGTTAATTTATTTCAGTAATGCAATGTAAAAGGGGAAACTAATATATGAGATAGACGCATTACATGCAAAGCAGGGTAGTTCAAGCCGTGATTTGTGATAAGTGCGATGATTATGGCTTATAGCTCATGAAAACCCCAAATCCACAATCTCAGTAAATTAGAATATTACATGCAATCAATAAAACAAGGAGTGTACATAGACAATATCGGACCTCTGAAAAGTATAAGCATGGATATGGACTCAGTACTTGGTTTGGGCCCCTTTTGTAGCAATTATTGCCTCAATGCGGCGCGGCATGGAAGCTATCAGCCTGTGGCACTGCTGAGGTGTAGTGATGTCGCGAACATAAGATTTTCGGTTCGTGAACGGCGAACGCGAATTTCGGCAAATGTTCGCGAACCCGCGAACCGGGTGAACCGCCATAGACTTCAATAGGCAGGCGAATTTTAAAACACACAAGATGTTTCAAGGGGACTAACACCTGGACTGTGGCATGCAAACTCCGATCCGCGGCTGCATCTTGCAGCCGCTTAGTAGATAACTCCCTAATTCCCACGGTATCAGGGAGCTATCTACTAAAAGGCTGAAAGATCTAAATTGGTCTTTCAGCGACATTTACTAATACTGAGTAAAGATTACTTAGTATTAGTAAAT